AAAGTAACTGCATATAACACCACCACCACAAGTAATTTATAAACAGAAAAGGAAAAGAGGGGATCTGCTGGGAGGCACACAGTGATTTTCATGGAATGTGGGGAAAGCAGATGCCAAGAGTCAGGCTAACACTGCTCCTTCTGTGAGCTCACCTTTGGCTTTGGGACTTGTATGAAATTTGGAACTGCACAGGCCTGGGCGAGCCTCTGTTCTGCACATTATAACAGGGGTCCTCTGTCCTGAATGGGCATGGTGAAGACGGTGAGGATGGTTCAGGACCACGGAAGGTTTCGGATTCGTTGTACATAGGGTTGCTATGAGCTGGAGTTGGCAAGATGCCACCTCACAACATGACAACATTTCTATCCTGCAGCTCATCCCTGGGTATCAGTTATTCTGTCCATGAAATCAGGAATAGAGAAACTACCCCGTTTCTACTTCCGATTCACAGCTAATCTGGACTCGTCGCCCTGATAGGAGTCACCAGCTCCTCACCTGGGACTTCCAACCCAGAAGTCACAGGGAAGATAGATTTCTAATGTGTCTGTGAGGAGTTTCTTATCATCAGAAAAAACTCAAACAAAGAAAAAACAACCAAAACTCAACTTGAATAAAATGGAAAAGACAGGCAGTGGGAAGTAGTCCTTAATAACAAGGCTACTCTAGGTGTGAAATTCATAGAAAACTGGGGTGGGTGGCATTTTTTTTTTTTTTGGCATTTTTTCAAAGACACACGGAATAGAGTGACTGAATAAAAGCTAAATCAGCATCCCCTTCAGTTCACTGTCTTTCTCCTGAGATTGGCATCAACTGAATTGCAGTTTAGTGAAGACTTTGATTCTGTTCCTTTTATATACTATTCTTCTTGACTGTAGGAAAAGAGTATAAAATAGTAGGCTTTCACTGTTTCCAGCGTGGTGTTTATTTTATTCACTTATCCCTGTGAGACCTGAAGCACTGTGAGGGGGCAGTTAGTTTTGCTAAAATTATTAGACATGTTTCAATTAATTATAGGCACAGAACCACTATTACAGTGAGTGTTAAATCTAATGAAACTAAACTCTGCTTCCGTCGAGTCCTTACCGAGTCAAAATGACCCTCTCCACTGGGTTTCCAAGTCTGCAAAACTTAACGGGAGGAGACTATACGTCTTTCTTCCTCAGAATCACTGGTGGATTCAAACATTTGGCCTTTTGGTTAGCAGCACAACATGTAACACACTTTGCCACCAAAGCTCTTCTTGTAAAGGCACTGCAAACACTTCCTCAGCACACGTTAAATGTTATCAGAGGAAGCTCAGGGCCTGTAAGCAGACAGCATGAAAATGCAAAGGGTTTGGGTTTGGTTTTTTTTTTTCAAATTCTTCCCTCACACCTTGCCTTTCTTTCAGCATCTAAAAAAGAAGGCTGGACTCGGGAATGAAAACTTCCCACCAAGGACCTGGTGATGATAGAAATACCACATCTAGGAAAAAATTTTTACCATGCTGACAAAATAAATCGAAATCCTAGCTTCAGCATTTCACCAACTGCAGAGAAAATACTGTGAGGCTGAAAGACAATTCTCGGCAGTGGCAGAAGCCAAGTGCTGGGTGACCAGGTGCTCTGAAGAGGGGGTTGCTCCCTGTTCCCGGGAGGCTGCTGCCCACCTGAGGAGTGAGGGAGACCTGGGAGACCTGAGAGGGAAGGATGGAGAAATAGGGAAAGATGACAAGACCACAGCTGTAGAGGCCATATTCTCAAGGTACATAAGTCACTTGAATTGTCACAACAGTAGTGGATCCAGAAGCCCTGATTCTTATAAAGCTTCCCCTAGCTAGGACCCAAGTGAATCAAAGTTCAGGGTAGTGCAGAGTGAAAGGTAGGTATACAAAAGGAGGCTAATTAAAAAATAAATTAGAAAAAACACACCCCCCAAAACCAACCAACACCACCATAAACCACCTTAAAAAAAACATAGTTCAAATCAGGGCATAGGCCCTGATCTGATAGGTCTTTTGTGTATGTATGTATGTGTTCCTTTTTAAATTTAGTTATTTTACTGATTAAAACAGTTACAACAATACTTGAAATCCCACAGGGAGCTCTGGTGGCCTAGTGGCAAGAGACTGCATTGAAATCCTGAAGGTATGTGGTTTGAATCCACCAGATGCTCTGCTGGAGAAGGTGGGGCCATCTCCTCCCGTGCCAGTTGGATCCGATTCGACAGTACACAACAAGAGGGGGAGAAAAAAAGGAAATTCCAGAAAGAATTGCACGCTTTTACTATTAAATGCCCTTTGCTGAATATTTTGTCAGTGCCCAATTATTCATAACCTTCCAGAAGCTTATTTTTCTCCCTTTTCCTGTAAAATTCATTCTCACTTGCCAAAATTATACCTCCACAGCCACCACTGATGGCATCTGAGGTGCCTGAGATTAGATGATAAAGACCCACAAGTTAGTGTTTATAGTAGTCCAAAGCTTGTTTAAATGTTTGAAGACCAGTAAACCATGGTACCGGGCAGGGTAACTGTTATTGCTACCTTGGAAGAATTGATTCATCAACAAAATCCTCAGACTGAAATGTCCTGGACTCAGCATAAAATCTTCATTTTGAATGCCTCTTCTGGTATCATATGTTTTAGAAGTTTAACCACATATTTCTGATACTCCACAACCACCAGCACTTTTACAAGCGGCAATATACATCTGCATGTTATACTAACAAACACAATTCTCTACATCACTATTTTGTCACATATTAACTCTTGGCCTCAGATAATACAAAAAGCTATAACAGGATACAATACCACAGACATTTTTATTATCTCTCTTCCATCGCTGTGAGCAGGTAGCTCTTTTATTTTTGAGAGAGAGAGAATGATGAAAAAGCAGGAAGTAGCATCCAGTGTCTGACTTCACCTTTTCTCCTTTCTTATCATCTTCTGGGACCACTGTTACCGGACGCTGTTCTGGTTCCTGTTTGTGAGTCTCCATGAAGTGGTGCATTAGCATGACTGTTCCATGTGCTGGAGTGTGACGGAGAGCAAGATGGGCAGCACCATGGGCAACACCTTTTGCTGCCAAACAATTCCCCTAACAGTCCTCCAGTTCCCAGTCCAGTCCAGAAATGGACCTGGACTGGGATCCGGTCCTGAACTGCTGTAACCTTGTTCTCCTCTGAAAGCACTGCCCAAACCAGAAGTCTCACCATGGCCAGTGTTCCCTGGTCCTGTGAATTCAAACTTAACGTCTGGGGGAGAGAATCCTCCCATGATGTTGAATCTCCAATACTGGTGGGAATATGAAGGCTATTCAGAATATGGTGGAGGAGAATCTTGACCACCAACTCAGGAACAGCTTATAAACTCCAAAGGCAATAGCAAGTGATAATCCACCCACTAATACCACTGGAATCTGAGGGGTACAACTTCTTATCATAGCCAGAGAAAGAGTTAAAGTCAGAGTGTTTTTCCAGACTCTCTCAATCTCTTCAAACCAATTTCTTTGTAATCTAAATTATATTCCAAGCCACAGGATCCTCTTGGTACATAATAATCTTCAGAGGGGTCATAGCCTTCACAGCTCACCAGTTTTTCCAAATTTGTATGCAAGATCTAAGTCGGTCCTGCATTCCCACTGTACATCATAACCATCCCAGCCTTTGTTCCGACACTGTATAAGCATCACATCCAGCTCTGCCTCCAACATATTTCAACTGTGGGATTGGATCCAGTCTACAGGGGGTCAAATAGTGGTCATGATGGAGGCTGAGAGCTTTCACATCCTGTAACAATACTCTGTCAGGATGGTTCCAGACCAGGTAGAGCATGAGACCAAGAGAAGGAGAAGGAAGTTGGGGAGAGCGCAGCGTCTAGCCATTATCGGCCCTCCAGCCGCAGCCATGGCACTCGGTGGAAGTGGGGTGCAGCTGCCCAGTGCTCACAGGCCAGAGCCGAAACCCTGATAGGTCTTTTATCTCAAGCTTCTCAAACGGAAAGGAATATATAAGTCTCATGGATAGAACAAGTATCTACAAAGTGCTTTTTTCATGTTGTCTGGAGTCAGTATAAAGAATAAGGTCTAGGTCTTGCTCCTGAGGCACTCCATTGCAGAAATGTCAACATAAGCTTGCACAGAGTGGGGCCATTTGGGCTGGGTTTTGAAGGATCAATAGGAGTGTTCTGAGTAGGGGAAGAAAGGACAACTTGGCATTTTAGGCAACTGGAAATGAGACAGCAAATAAACAGCATAGTGAAAGTGCTCATAGCACCTGGGGAAGGATGACTAGCCTTGAATCCTCAGAATAGTAGGATTCCCCATCACCCCCACCTTATCTTACAACTTCTGCCATTACCTGAACCTGCTTTTTTCCTCTGTTCTTCTTTGGATCAAATTTAAAGTCTGCTTTATTTTAGTCTTATCCAAGATAGTAATTTCCAAAATAGATGAACTTGATAAGCTACTTATATTTATCCGGGACCACAAGATAGAAATAATTACCCCCCTAGGAAAGTAAATGGGCTCCTCTGTGAACTAGGAGATTTTGGTGTGTCCTATGTTCCCCTAATGCTGGGGAAGGCTGAGTTCAATTTCTGTGCTGACTGAGGAGGGATCAGACAGCACGGCACAGGAACGCAAACATCAAGGGCAGAAACATTTGTGATCAGCCACTGTCTGTTACTGCACCAGGGCATTGTCCCCGAACACATCAGCATCCCACTCAAGGCCCTGCCCTGGTCCCCAGGAAGTCATGAAACACCTCACTGCAATACGATTCCAGAGTTGAGTGTGACCCTCCATTAGGATCTATTCATTCCATTTGACTTTCATTTCCAATTTTAAAAATGGGCACCAACAGTATTTCGGTAATTTATTATGCAACCTCTTCAAAGTTTAAATTTATACTTCATTAAACACAAGCCCCTAAACTGGGTCAGCCTGCCCCATGGCTTCCCGAGGGAAGCGGCGAGAAAGCAGCGAGCAGGAAGAGAACAGCAGGAGCCACTTAAGACTCACCTCCATGCACAAAGCCGTGCAGGGTGCAGTCCGAAGGCCCCACAAGGTGGATCAGGCTGGACTGGCTGTAGCTGACGGTGTTCGGTTCTGGAATAGCAAAGAAGGCAGATTAGGCCACGATGTTAAGTCAGTCCCCACAGTGAAGCACCCCAACAAGGCTGAAAAGGCGTGATCATGGACGACATGCAGCTGCTGTCAACAGAGATTTCTCTGTGGATAACTATGGTCTCAACACAAGCTACGGCTCGAAATGGAAGGCTGAGCCAATGGCAGTTTCTTGTAAAGAATTCCAGGAAATGTCTTAAGGATTGAATTAGGCCTTCCCCACAAAACATGTGTTCAAATCCTGACCGGCACACACGTGTGGGAACTAATGGAATGTAACCGTCTTCCACAGTGTGATCAAGCAGCTGGGATCATCATATTCATGGAGGAGGATCCTAGATCTAATCACCTGAGGTAAGAAAGAGCTGCATAGACACACACAGACACACAAACACAGACACTCTCTCTCTCACACATACACAGAGCAAAGTAGGTGCCATGGAAAGATTGCCAAGGAATTACATGGGCTACTGACAAAAAAAGGTGAGATCTTGATGCAGACTGTTTGTTAGCTCCTGTCACATGGATTTGCATTTGCCCAAAACACATATAAGTAATGGTGTTATATAGAAGTTTTATACTGATCTCTCTATGACTCCAGAAGTCAAGCAGTTTTATGAGAACTAAGGGTGGGACGCAATACCCTTGATTCCAGCACAACCCTGGGGTGTGGCCTGTAACACTTTTTATTTCACGAGCTGAAAGGAGAGCAGGAGTGGCAAGAGAGGGACATCAGTGAGACCAAGACAGAAGAGCCCGAAGGGGCTCATGTCCTTTGGACCACAACCCTATGCGGGCGCCTCCTTGGCACAGGTCAGGGCCAAGACATGGAGACCTTCAAAGAATGCCAGGCCTACAGGTGCTGAAGAAAACCAGGATCTTCTCCCAGAACCAGCACAGAGAGAAAGGGCCTTTTCCTAGAAAGAGAAAGCCATCTCCTAGAGCCAGCACCTTGAATTTAGACTTTTAGCTTCTTATTAAATGGCAAGGAAAAAAAAATTTCCATTTGTTAAAGTCATCCACTTGTGATGTCTCTGTTATGGAAGCAGTAGATAACCAAGACGCCTCTGGTACTGGAAGAAAACACATTCCTGTTCTTTAAAGACACCCATTTGTGGGACTGCTGTTAACAGCAGTGCTAGGGAACTCCAACAGGAAACTGGCCACTTCCATCCTCATCAACTGCAATCTCAGAAGATGACAGATGCTCTGGCTCTGGCCTCCCTTGAAATCTCACTGGTTCTAAGTCCCTGAACAGGCCCTGGGAAACTTGGCACCATGAAGTGTCCAGGGCACCCCTTTTTTTTCTTTCCCTACCTACACTGTTTTATTGCTGCACTGTCAGTTTCAATGTCAGTGCTTCTCTAACAGGCTGTACTTTGAAGGAAAGCACAAAGAAGCAAGCAAAGAAGGCAGAGAGGAAGACAGACATGATACCTCAACACTGACTTTCTCATGGACGTGGGGAGAGAACTGAGGTGGCATCCCTAGGGCCTCCATTCAGGGACGAGTCTCGCCCTTGTCCAGCCTAGACCGCTGGTGCTCGGGAGAGCAGCCCATTGCTACTAGACCCTGCTCTTGAGTAAGTGAGCTCACGTGGCCAAAGACTGTTGACTCCGTCAGTCGACTGACAAGGACATACTGAGGGTGAGGAAAGGCACTTCCTGGGTTGAGCCCTGGCAGAATTGTCTATGAGTCAGAGTCTTGGACAGTGAAAAGCCAACAAGATGGAGGATGGACTCAAAGTAGAGGTCGGTACCCAAAGAGGCCTCTTTGGGGTGAAGGAGACCCCAGCCTCTTTCTAGTGGTCCTCTGAAGGAACTGCAAGCCAGGTCCTGAGCCTGTAGTTGTCACGAAGAAGAAAAAAATTGGAACTCAGGGAGCTGGAGCTGAGAGATCTATTTCCACACTGAGAGACACTGTCTGTTTGTTTTTTGAGACTTGCAGGTGAGTGAAGGATCATGTGCTGCATGAGAGGCTCCTCGTAGAGGAGCGGGTGTCAGCTCTTGAGCATCTCGAGGCGCTAAGACCCAACGAGGCACCTGAGCAGCAGCTGAAACTACGGTGGCTCTGAGTTGGCTGGGCAGAATCTTACTTGCAACTGCTGGTCAGCGGCAGACCACAGGGATTGGGAGTCACCTGGTCCACCTGCTCTGTGCCTCTCTCCTGGCCTGTGAAAAGCAGTACTGGTGGCCCTGGGATGGGTCTCTCTCACCTATGGCTCTGTAAGGGGGGAACGCAAAAGGAGAAATCCATCTCTAGCCTGCCCTTCTGGATGTTAGTCCAATGGTATTCCTTCCTGGGCTCCCAGGGATCTGGTGTTTAAAACCTGGTCTTAAAACCTACAGATAACCACAATGTTGCACAATTTGGTGGGTGAAAGGAGGGGGTGAAGGAAATGGGAAGAATCTAGCAGGGACCTGGAAATACAGGGTAATGATGGGCAAGGTCCAATGGTGATTAATTTTATAAAACATAATGCATGGGAATGATAGTGTAAGACACAATGTGAATGAAGAAAAGGGTGAAACACTATGTATATGAGTTTTATGAGCAAATTAATATAAAATAAAAACCACCAAAACAACAACAATAAAATCCAACCGATGAGTGAAAGGGATGCAGGCAGCACTCAGGTTCCGGGGGTCCCCAGATGTCCCCCAGGGCTGAAGTTAATGTGATGGCCTGTGACTTCAGCGCAAGCCTCCTAATACCTAGATATGCCCAGGCCCAGGGAGGGTTATCCAGGCCACTTTGATCTCAGAATCACGTGACACAGCCAGGAAAGCGATAAACCAACGATCATCCAATCAGTCATGACTCACTCACGGCAGTGCCTGTGGATCAGAGTGGAACTGTGCTCCACAGTGTGGTCAATGGCTGAGGAGGACCTCATGCACTTGCTGCAGAGGGTCAAGGACTGCAGCCTTCAGTATGGACTGAGGCTCAATGTCAAGAAGACAAAGATTCTCACCACTGGACCAATTGGTAGCATCAGGATGGATGGCGAAGAGACTGAGATTGTTCACAGTTTCAGTTTGCTCGGCTCTACTCTCTGGTCAACACTCTTGGCACCAGCAGCCAGGAAATCAAAAAACGTATCATGATGGGAAAGTCTGCTGTTAGGGACCTCTCCAAAGTACTCAAGAGCAACGGTGTCTCTCTGGAGACTAAGGTGCGCCTGATACAGGCCATGGTCTTTGTAATCACTTGTTATACATCAGAGAATTGGACAATGACTAGAGAGGATAGAAGGAGAATTGATGCCTTTGAGCTGTGGTGCTGGAGAAGAGTACTGAATGTACCATGGACTGCCAAGAAAACAAACAGATTCATCCTTGAGAGGGTTAAACCAGGCTGCTCCTTGGAGGCAAGGATTCTGGGGCTTCATCTGACATACTTTGGACATGTTGTAAGGAGAGACAGGTCCTTGGAGAGGGACATCATGCTTGGGAGGGTGGAGGGACTGTGCAGGAGGGGAAGACCCTCTATGAGATGGATTGATTCAGTGACTGGGGTAATCGGGATGGGTATGTCAGAGGCAATGCAACTGGCACAGGATAGAGCAGGGTTTAGGGCTGTTGTACATAGGGTCGCTATGAGTTACAAATGACTCGATGGCACATAACAACAACAACAGGTGAAGAGACTGAGATTGTTCACAGCTTTAATTTGCTTGGCTTCACAGTCAACACTCTTGGCATCAGCAGCCAGGAAAGTAAAAGATGTATTGTGATGGGAAAGTCTGCTGTTAGGGACCTCTCCAGAGAACTGAAGAGCAATGATATCGCTCTGGAAAATAAGGTGCACTTGATACAGGCCACGGTCTTTGCCATTCCTTGCCATGCATCAGAGAGCTGGACAATGACTAGGTAGGATAGAAGGAGAATTGATGCCTTTGAGTGCTGGAGAAGAATATTGAGGGTACCATGGACCGCTAAGAAAATTAACAGGTTCAACCTGGAGAGGGTTAAACCAGGCTGCTCCTTGGAGTCAAGGATTCTAAAGCTTCATCTGACCTACTCTGGACATGTCTAAAGGAGGGATCAGTTCTTGGAGAGGGACATCATGTCTGGGAGGGTAGAGGGACAGTGCAGAAGGGGAAGACCCTCTATGAGGTGGATTGATTCAGTGACTGGGGTAATCGGGATGGGTGTGTCAGAGACAGTGAGATTGGCACAGGATAGAGCAGGGTTTAGGGCTGTTGTACTCAGGGTTGCCGTGGGTTGCAGGCAACTCGACGGTACATAACAACAATAACAATAACAACAGGTTGCCAGGGCCTTTCTCCTCAAAGAGAAGGTAGCAGTGATGCAGGGGTGTACTCTTACCTTCCATGAGGGGACCCAGGTTCGATTCCTGGTCAATATAATCGTTCACAGCCACCAGTCATGTGCCAGTCGAGGCTTGTGGGTTGCTGAACAGGTTTCAGAGGAGCTGCTACTAAGAAAGACTTGAAAGAACGGGGTGGTGATGGATCTCTGAAAATCAGCCAGTGAAATGCTATGGATCATGGGGACGGTGTAGGACAGGGTGGAGTTTTGTTCTACTGCGCATCAGGTCACTGTGAGTTAGAGGCTAACTTACAGGCCTAACAACAAAATACTACAGGGGGCCTCTGAAGCTGGAGCCAGAACTCCGCTCTCTGGCCAGACAATTGGGCTCCTCCAGCCATTCTGGCTCAGCCTAGTTCTTCATTTCAGTCAGAAGTGGAAAAGGCCAGAGGATAAGCGGGCCTTGCTTAGCTCCTGGTTGCGTTAAGAGAGGTGCCTTTAAAAGTCAACACTAAGTGAGTTCCAGTGGCCTAGAGGCAGGAAGCTACACTGCAATCCCTGAGGTGCATGGTTTGAATCTACAAGATGCTCTGCTGGCGAATGAGGGACAATCTCTTCTTGTACCAGTCAGATCCGATTTGATGGCGCACACAACACAAATATTAATGATAATAATAGTAATAATGAGGAGGAGGAGAAGTCACTGTT